CAAGCGAGACTTACCACTGCCCTACAATGACTCTTGCGGCACCAAAGGGGCTTTGTTTACATACCATTATTATTGCATTTTCTCGCACCATTACAATTATAACAGCTCATGACTCGTTTGCCATATGCACATGGAAACTTTGTTCCCATACTTGTAAGCATACGTCCACATTGTACCCCTTGAAGGACATGTTCCACGACAGGAAGTATTGTGAACGTTGTTGTTGTTGCAAGAACCCCAGTAGACTAAATGATCCATTGGATGAGAGAACTGAACCGAATTGAACTGACAGTATAAGAAGACAAGGCTCTGCATGAAATACCAATGCACTAAACTCTACAACGTGGAAACCCTCCAACAGGAAGCATAGGTTGTGGTATGGAAGAGGAGATTTCCAAGGAACTCGTTGGTTCCTTGGTGGGCAGAAAACGGAAAAGGGAGCTCGGAAACGCTTTCCATAGGATCACTGGCCTCAAGCAATTGAATTACAGGGTGAAAAGACCGCGTGTATGGGTGAGTTCAGCCAGCTCATTCCTTGCATTGAGCCTATGAATCCAGGAGGGTCAGTGAAGCTTCCCTTTATGCAACTCGTCGTCACTGGCATCGTTTTGGCTGGAAAGCTGACTTTGAAAGGGGAACCCAGAGCTGAAGTTTACAAAGCAGGTGTCGCTGGAGTCACTTCAACGATACAATACCGCTCCTAATTTGTGGTCAATCGACGGTTTGCGACAGATTTTTCCGTCGCAAACCGTCGTTTTGCCATAACTTGCGCAGAAATAGTCCAAATTGCTTGGAAATTACACCAATGGATAGCTTTTATCACGGCGAGTCTAATGGTCTATGAACCGTTCAATTTTGTTCAGTTTATTGGCCTTATTTCTGACGAATTCCACTGTTGAGTCTCCAGTTACCTCAGGTGGTACCTGAGGATATGACAGCGTCGTAAACCCTCCAGTCCGATAGCGGAATTTAATCATTTAATCAGGGGGATTCAAACTTCAATATGCTAACACATTCAAAGAGAGCGTTCCGTGATCATTTTGATATCAGCTTTGATTACGTTTCAGCAGAATTCAGTGCGAAATGAAGGTGAAAACCAATCACTTTTTTGAATATGACGCTTTCTTGAGAGCCCATATTTTTCCTCTTGCGTGACTGCAGCAAAACCTCCCAAATCGTCTTGAACCTTCAGACTTTTTAATTTCACTCGCCCACCTGCAACCTTTACCTTCTACATTAGCGCGCCACGAAAGTGAGTATACGTGTTCCATCGAGGAACATACCTTTTCCTACGCAACCTTCTACATTTTTCATGAGGTCATGCAGGCCGCTTTCTCGGAAGTGAGAAAGCGTTCACGACGGCTGAATATTTGCAGGCTATTCCCTCGCGACATCTCATATCAGCCTTCGTCCGCTAGTAATCTTCACAGATCCATGCGTTCAACGACCCGAGCTACGTTTCTGGTGCCGCAGTAACACCGGTTTCATTAGGTTCAATACCACTCCCTTTTACAGGGAAGTGAGTCGCGATCGATGGGTTGCCGGTGGATTACACGTCACAAGCCGCGAGCGCAATGATTTTTGCCAAAAATCAAGGGCGCCATCGACAGTAGTTCGACTGATGACAACTACTGAACTTCTTTTTTTATACAGAAAAGGGATTCGCCGAACTCAGCCTATAATTTCCATTTTCTTTTTTTGGATTGTAGACTGAGTCACTCAGCTTCAGTCCATGATCGACTCTTCATTAATCTCGGCATGACGACAGCAATATTCAAAGATGTTTCTTTGGCGATCCAAGATTGTTACCTTCCTTCTCCTCCCTCTCTCCTCGTCCTTTGCTCGAGCAACGTTTCAGCAGTATTGCTTTTTTTCAAATGAGTTTTTGGAAGGATTTGTGTGAATATCAAGAAAAATTCTTGGACACCCACACCTTTTACACCGACAGTAGTATCTGTGCACTGCATGCCAGACTGTTGCCAAAGTGTGAACTGGCCAAGCATCTGTTGACATCGTTGAGGCTCTTTTTCTTTCCATGCGCTGCCAGCTCCCATGATGACATAATGAAGCCCAATAACCGGAAGCGCTCTCGGGCCTTTGCAGAGCAAGCCCCGGAGGCTAAGACTGAGCACAAGTATACCGGCGCTCCCGCTAGGACGGCTACGGCGTGCCTGATCACATCGCAGCCCTCAACCCGTGTAGTGCTCTAGTGTACCCCACGTGCCCTTCTGCCATCATGGCAGCTTTTTGCCCGAAGGGTACCTTTCACCGGCGGAGGCGACCAAAATACTGGCCTTGGCGTGGGGCGGTTTAGCGCGCGCTCGCGCCTATTGATAGCATCGTATCGTATTCGTTTTGGCTCTGGGGCATGGCTGTGCCCCAAGCGAAATACAAATCTACGGCGCGCGGTGCGCTCGAGACAAATGCTTATTTGACGTCCAACATTTTCTATAGCCTAGCCCAGAGCTATATGGCGCTGGCGCCAAAAATGGATGTCATATTTGTGACCAAGTCCTTCAGTTAATCTTAAATGAAGAACTATAACGGTTAGGAAGAAAAGTTGCGGCGCGAAGTTGGAGCCGACACCATTTTAGCGCTAAATGGAGTACTCGGCGAGCCGGTGCCTATGAAAACTGATGACATATTCTTTTTTTATTTAGGACATTTATGGTCCATAGAAAGTGGTGGCGCCAAAATGGTGCGTACATGCGCTGGCACCAGAAAGCGGTGTCAGGTCGGGATTACAGCAATGCAGTAACCGAAAGCTTCAGGGGAACCTTCTTTATTTGATTTAGTGTAACTGAATCAGTGCTATCGGCGTGCATATTACTTTGCAATCCTTTTCCTCTGACTCATCTCCTTAGCACGCATGGTCTTTGAGGCGCCTGGGTATTCCACTCGCTGGGTTGAGCGTAAGGATTTCAAAAGTGTTGATGCAAATACTGAGTATGTATCCGGAACCACTTTCCACATACCTCCTTGCAGTGATAGTCACCAACCACCGTTCCTCCGTTTCGCCACTAGTTCCTCTTACCTGTTCGCTTCGCTGATGAAAAATACGGGCGGCAGTCGTGAACGAACTGTCAAAATGACGTCAATTTCCTAATTCTAATGAGCAAGAAAACGAAAACCCTTAGGAGAAGTAGCACCCAGTGCACTCGGTGAGCAAAGAAAGGCAAGGAAAATCTTCGAAAGGTGAGATCAGATCGTAACCTTAGGAAGGTATAGGAAACCAGGAAGTTGATCTCCACTCAACACTCTTCAGCAAATGTTAGTTCACCTTGGCATAGAACCGGTAGGGAAACCTAACTAACCGTGCAGCGCTTGGATGAAACACTAGTGGGCTTTTCACCAGTGACCTCTGAATATCAAAGTCTCACCAGGGAAGTCCGCCAACTCAGAGCTTTGAATGGAGACCTGGCTAGATCGATAGCAGTCTATTAAGAGCTTCTATTATACAAAACTGCAACCTGCATTTCACAAGCAAGTTATGAGCAGGTAAAGCTTGTAATGGTGCAGTAGGGTGGGAGGGGTCGTGGTGGTTCAGTGGTAAGGCTCGACGTTCGACGACCCATCGACGTAATGTATGCTTCACAGGCTCACCCCATAGGCCACCTAGCTCGCCCATTACAACCTTTAGCTGCTCACAAGTTGTTTGTGAAATGCAGGTTGCGGTTTTGCCATCTATTTTTGTGAATAAACTTATGGACTCTATCGATTTTCCAGATCTCCATTCAAAGTTCCATGGCAAGTTGACTTCTGGTCAGACGGTGCAGTGGGCGCAGTGGTGAAGTGAAGGTGATGTTGATAGCAAGACAAAAAGGATAAATTCTTCATCGTTGATTAATCCCTTGTTTGGGATGCGGCACGCATTCTACTTCCATTCAGAATCGTAGTGGCTTATTGAATGCGATGTGGCCTATACAATGACTTGCGGGGCCAGCCGATGTACAAGTCAGTGTTCTTATCCTCCCAGACGAGTCTGGTACCAATTTACCTGTCCCCGGAGATTAGAAGGCTTGGTTGATATGGGCGGGAACTGCTATGGGACTTGACTCAGGGACCGCACGCGTTGTAGGCGTGCCATTTGTCACTTCACCACCTCCGCGTCTGAAGGATCATTGTCTCAAAGAAAGTAAATTAAAGTAGAAAGAGAAGCAGTGGGGCATCTGCTTGCTTTCCATAAGAATTTTTGGTCTTCTGGTCTAGCCTTTCGTGGCATGTCACACGGGAAGTCATTTTCGAGCATGAAAAGTGTCCCAGCACATTAACCATGCGTAAAACATGCTAAGCCGTATGGTATGACAGAGAACGATCCTTAGCTTTGCATACATTTCTAGCGACCGCAAATAAAAGCCATGAGATTGGTCGACTACGGATCAGCTAGTCCTTTTCACACAACACCTCATAATCGCTTACAACATGGCGAAAAAGTAGTCGACCCTTTTCCATGAGAGGAATTCTGTCGCATATGAAAAGCGCGCAAATCATCACGCTATCATTATCATATCATAAAATAAGTCCATTCTTTGGCCCCTGATTGTCCTCCGTTCGATGGAAAAATGTTGTTAGGGGGTGGGTCCAGCGGCAAGGAGCCTTTTCAGAGCTATCTCTAACGGGGATTTTTCTAACTTTCGTCTCCATATGTGGGTTTCGTGGCCTACTTGTTGTTTGCAGCAAACTGTTGTGGATGACCTCAGAGTGACGACCTTTGATAAGATACTCAGGCCAAATAACCCTCGTTTCAAAAACATTCACAGTTTATCTTTCCTTTGGCTTCACGCCACTGTCACGTCCTCCTGTCATCACTTTCCTGGTTCGATGGTAAAAAAAAACAATGCCAGTATTGTTGTTGAAGCTTCTACCTTCTGAATACTATGGGCGCACCTGTAATCAAAGCCATTTCTTCTCGTTCTGTGCCGCTCTCTGCAGTACTATTTCTTGTAAGATTTCCTAGCCAGACTTTTCCCTTAGTTCGTGACATAAACTTCCTACAGTTTTCGGCCTGGACAGCTCTCTTTCCTTTTTACTCATTCTGAACTATCTGCATATGTCAGTCCCATATTCCTGCTTCCTATTTGAACTTTGGAT